ATAATACTAGGGGTGCAACAACTAATCGACTTAATCGATTACCAAATTAGTTGCCAACTAATTCAGTCGTCGATTCGTTGGTGACGTCATCACATGTGTTTTACGCGCCGTTAAGCTCCAAAGTTATTGGTCTTTTTATCGGTACTGGAGACATTTAAAAAATATATGTCATGTATTATTGCTACATAAACATTATATCGCAGTCTTAGTGTCGCCAACTCGTTTCTAATATGCAAAAAGACAAACAAATGCGTCTATGGTGTATTTTCGATCAGACGAGATCTCTCTCCCCCGTCTGTGTGCGAGGGGGCGGGGCAGTTTACACACACGCAGCTGCTACATGCAGCAACCCATGGCAGCAACACACTGCGGAGATGGCGGAGAGAACGCGCTCCGAGGTGTGGTTAAACTTTACCCGTCTCGATGTGGAGAATGCTCGTTGCCAAAAGTGCAATAAGAGTTTAGCATGTAAGGGCGGTAACACGAGCAATTTGTCTAAACATTTAGCAGCTCTGTAGCCCCATCCACGAGTAACGTTTCCACGTCAGGTATTATGTATGCTAGCAGCAACACACAGAGTTAACTACATTATACAAACATGGGTTAATGATTAGAGGTAACTGAGTTATTTATTTTGTTAAAGTTTCAGCTATTCTGTTTACAGTTCTGTCATCAGATTATTTAATACGATTTGTTAAAAGACTGTTGTTTCTTTTGATGTGAAATATTATTATTTAATTTAAATTAAAAGCTATGTTCATTTTGTTCAAAATGTGTTTAGTTAATTTAATAATATATGTATTTTTGAATCAAGTATTTATCTTTATTGTCTTCATTGTTAGTTTCCACATGCCTAAAACAACAAGAGCGTTTGAGAAATTGTGCAAGGCATACAGTAATAGTCCGAATAGTCGATTAATCATTTCATTAATCGATAGATTAATCGATTATAAAATTAGTCGTTTGTTGCAGCCCTAGATAATACCATCATCCGCTTTTCATGCTCTATTGTAAAGCAACTGCACAGGAGACTCAACATAGAGGGGCTCTCTTTACCATCTTGCCCCATTTGGAGTAACCCCTGTCTTTCTGCAGGAGGAGGCACCTTAAGTAATAATATCTGGCAGAGGGCTGGTATTACTACAATTGGACAGATATATAGAGACCAAACCCTTCCATTTCAACAACTCAAAAATCAGTATGGTCTCTCAGACTCATCTTTTCTATCATATGCACAACTAGCATCTATTATTAGTACAAAATGTAAGGAGGGAGCCATGCCTGCTTCATGTATGGAAGAGGACCAGCGCCTCAAGAAAGCAATCATATCATCCGGTGTTGTCTCTAACATTTATAAATTATTATCTAGGGCTGCCCCGAATACCTATTCTCCTGTCCAACTGTCCTGGGAGCATGCCTTGAATATCTCTCTGTCTGCTTTGCAATGGAACTCCATTTGGAGGTCAGCTATGTTCTCTTCTAAATGTGTAAGATTCAGGATCATACAGTTCAAAATTCTCAATAGAGCTTACATCACCCCTGTTACAAAATCCAAGATGGACAATAAACACAGAGACTTATGCTGGCATGAATGTGGCAAGCGAGGTACATTGTTGCACCTACTCTGGGAATGCCCAGCGGTAAAAAAACTTTGGTCAGAAGTAATATCCTTAATGTCTGAATCTTTAAAAGGTTAATTTCCCTACATGTCCCATTGCATGTCTACTGGGTCTCAAGCCAGATGGCAATGTTGCAAGGACTGCCGATCGGCTCTGGACATTGTTTAGCCACAAAAAGACTCATCCTACTAAACTGGAAGGAACGCAAACCAGCCTGCTTTACTAGGGACTCATGGCTGAGGGAGTATCTGGACCTACTGAATATGGAGCGTGCAGCTTCTCTGCTGGGGGATTTTGAGGGGAGACAGGAGGATTGCGGTTCACTGTCCGCAGCTCTCCTATCTGACCTTGTCAATATGGCATCTCCTGTGTAATGTATAATGTATTGTGTATGTAATGTCCTGTGTATGTCACAATCAGCTGTCCTAGGAAGTCATCCTTGCATCTCCTCCTCCCCCCCCCGTTACGTTTTGTTTAGGTGTTACATGTTTTGTTGTATGTTCTGTTATCTGGAGCAATGTCTGTTTACTTTATAACTGAAAAAAAAAAAAATATATATATATATATTAAAAAAAAAGTAGGTATTTAAAGATCCCCTATTATACTGTTTCTCATCAATATATTACAGGTCTCAGATATATCCAGAGCATGTCTCTGCTTGGCTGAAACACCAAACAGATTATTGCAGCATCCCATAATCCACTCCATTTCAGCCCTGTTTCAAAAGTGCTGATTCTCTGTCTGTTACTTTAGATCAGGGGTCGGCTACCCCTGGCACGCGTGCCACCATCGAGCTCTCCCCCCCTGTTGATAATTCACGATCGTCGGCACGCTGATAAAATAAAAATAGAGAAAATAAAAATAGAGAAAATAAACAGAATAGCTTTTGAAAATATGTGCATCTTAAAAGTGCTTGATTTTAGATAAATTAAATTAAGTGTAGAAGCAGCTTGAGTTTCCCTTTTTCTTTGTTAACCGTTTCACATCATGACCTAACAGTTTCAGACGATTATAGAACAATCAGTCTTTACACATCATAACAATTGAACAGTTTTAAAGTTTCTCTTTCTTTCCCTCTGATATATTTGTCTCTCCCTGTCTGCCGCTAACACGCCTGTTCACTCTCCTCTCCGCTTCGCTCCCTGTATCGCTAATTATTCTCTCCACTCACTTTCCTCTCCGTTTCTATCTGCCGCTCTCTCGTCTCTTCTTCTGTGTTTCTCTCCCTGTATCGCTCAATCGTCTCTTTCGCCCCCTGTCAACAGCGGTTAAAATAGAATCGCCCCGTCAAAATTGAAATTCCCTATTAATGTATTGATTATAGGTCCGGGTCCGTATAGGTCGGCGTCTGGGTCCGGATCCGGACCACGGTCCGCCTGTTACTGAACTATGATATAGACGGTACGGCCACACGAGGCCGACGTGGAAATGCATAAAACGATAACGGGTCCCAAGGTGGGTAGATCTGCAAACGAAACGTGCTGGGGGGGCAAACGGCTCCGTGTTTACGCCTATACGATCATGTCAAGCAATAGACCCGCCTCTCCCACCTCTCCTGCTCAGAGATCAGCTGCTGGCCTGTCAGAAGAGGGGGAGGAAAAGAGAGGCTCCGTTTTTTATTCTTATATTATTATTATTATTATATAGTCGTTATCAATTTGTTTTAAAGCTCAATAAATAACAAAGAAGACCTCTGACCGGCACTTTTCTAATTTTGTCTGGAAGATTTCAACTTTAACGGACATGTTGACCGGCGAAAAAAAATCGAACTGAAACTCTGCCGCATGGTCCCCTCGTCCCTTGGAAGAGGCGGAGAGGTGGGTGTTTTTCATCTGCTGGTGGACTACCGGAGAGATTTACAGCAGGAGCACACGCTTGCCTCGGAAGGGGGAGAAAAAGAGCCAGAGTGTCCACAGCGGAGAATAAACAGAAGGGCAACCATTGCAACCATGGAAGTCTTCTTCGCTGCTTTAGTCGCCACTTATAGGCCCGGCATATGTACTACAGCGTCTCCAGCGCTTTCGAGCAGTCTTGTGTGAACGGACACGTTTCTGGTGCCTATTGCGTGTGGACGGAAGACCTTTTTTTATATCGATTTCAGTCCGTTTGCGTTATCGTCCTCATGTGGCTGCAGCCTGAGAGATATTTGGTTAAAACGAACACAATGGTGCTATAGGAGGAGATTCAGGTGATAAGGGGGGGGGGGGGGGGGGGGGGGGGGTGGGGGGTTACCTTGGTTGCTGATTGGCTAATGGTTACACAAGACAAAACATCGTTATGACATCATAAAGTGGCCAAAATCTGATCAGCTCATTTGCAGACAGGTTTTTATATAAATGGATCAGGACAAAAAGAGAGAATCTTTGTTCCTGAAACTTTCAGAGTCTCTTTACACAGAGGGGACACATGTTGATGTAGAAGAGACATGAAGAAGTGGATTTTGCATAATAGGTGTCCTTTAAGTAGCAATATCATATTCAGAGCTTAGGGATGACTACAAAAGAAGAGGGACACTGTGTGACAGTGCCTGACGTGACAGGGCCTGATGTGACAGGGTCAGGGCTTGACGTGACAGGGCCTGACAGTCGGCCATTTTAACTGCTATTTCTCAGCATTTCAACATGTTAATAGTTAGCTTGCTAGCAAGGGATTTTAGTGAACTTATCTAAAAAAATGTAATAACAAAAACAATATAATCCTTTTCTGGGATATTTTAACGTGACAGCGCCTGACCCTTTAGCTTGTCCACGTAAAAAAAAAAAAGGTGTAAAAACAAGATTATTAATTAATTCAAGGACAGAATGTACCCACTTATTGTCAGCTCCTCTTCCGTCAGATGATGTAACTCCTTCACAATCATGTTCTTAAAGGTGTATTGCACTATTTTTTATGGAGTATTTTATGAAGCGTGACAGGACTGACCAAAAAAATGGGGACTGTTGTAAAACACATTTTTGGTCAAATGTAAGCATTAATCAATGTTTTTAATGAACTGTGGTGAAAGATAACAAGTTAAATGTGTTATTAAATTACGTTTCTTTATTAAAATAAAAGTGTTCAGCTAATTAAAAAATGTAAACCCCCATTTTTAAGAACTTCTATTTTTCAAAAGTGTTTTTAAATTAATTAAAAACACCTGAAAGCCTAGTGAATCACAAACCTATGTACAAACAACTCACAAAACACTACTATCTCATCAGTTTTAAGATATAGTATGGATTATAAATTTGTATTCACTGTAACAATCCCAGGACAGATAATATACATTTCTGGTAGAATGTATGATTAAGAATAAAACTCTCCTCCCTTGAGACTATACAGCTGTGACAAAAGAAATGTATCACTTCACAGGGAAAGGATTCACAAGCAGTGCTGACATACCTTCGGGCAAAAGGGAAGTTGAGGCAGGCGCCAGTCGACACATTTCGAGGACTGTCTAGAGGGCTGCTTGCAGCTGAAACAGAAAAGACAGTACCGGTATTATTCCTAACCGTCATAATTAACTCAGGAAATAGAGTAAAGAAGACCAAATGGCTGCATTCACAAGTTGAAACTTCTCAGAAAAGATTACATCACGTCTCTGCAGGAACCCTCCATCACTTAAAAACCCAGTGCCATTTACCAGCACCTCAGACAGGTCCAATCTATCATCTTGGAATTACTCTTCAAACATTACAGCACTGATCTGCAAACAGTCAGGTCTCACCAGAGTCTGGCTGCCTCCACTAGAGACTGTGGTTCGTTTACATGCAAGTAGTTGAGTACCAATTAGGACACAAGAGAGACCCAATTAGAGGCCGACTGCACTCTGTGATTAGATAATCCTCAGCATGATTGAGTTCAAAAGGGAGCACATCCACATACTGCTGGTTTGAGGAGCTCTTGTGCAAACCTCTTTTCATTGAGTGCAGCTGCTTCATGGCATGAAGTACTGTTGATTCAGAAGCAAAAGAAAACTAACAATTTAAAGTTAATTTAAACACTTATCGATTGTCAATCATCCTTAAACTTTCTGCACTTTTAATTCTTCAACCTGATAGACAGTGAACTTCTCTAAGTCCAAATTGATTACCTTAACACATTTCATAAAAAAAGACATATCATTTAAAACATAGTTTCCTGAAGCAACATGAAACATTGGAGATTGTTGGTCCAGATGTTCAGCAGAGGCTGAACTAATAATATGACTTATTGGTGTACTGTACAGGTACCCTTTTTTGGAGTACGATTTATATATAATTGTTTTTGACGCAGTGTGTCATAACTGAAAGGATTCAGTTAATGGCTGATGTGTGCAGATGATCTGAATATGTCTGAATAATCTGCAGTCTCAACAGCATACTGGCTATGGTGCGGCTTAATAGTTAGATCCAAACGAGCTTAATCTCGTATTACTGAGCGTGTGGCTAGGCAGTGAGCCATACAGCTTACAGATATTAATGTTAGAGGAGCTTCTAGCAGTACGCAACATGACAAACAGTTAGGAATTTGCTTGAAACGTAATTAATCAAACCCCTGCAAAGTTTCCATATGCCAAATGTGGCATATGTGTGTTCACATCAAACCTGTTTAAAGCTTCACATGTCATCTCTAACGTTTGGAAAGGTAAGAATAACAACATTTAAACCTACTTTATAACCCCAAGGCACCTAAATGTGTTTAAAAAGACAGTATCAAATACTGTCACTGATCATTATATCTGAATGTAATCAATCAATTTAAAACTGTACATTTTAAACAAGATTTTGCAACAGACAAAATGTAAATAATGCTGTCATGTATTTAAGCTTCTGTGTGCACGTGCATCAGTTTGATTGGTCAGTGCAGTTATTTGCTGAATGACACACTACTAGGGATGTAACGATATACCGAATATCGCGGTAAATAAACGTCCCAATACCGCCGTGAGACTGACAAAATCTAACGCGATTTTTATTTTTTATTAATTGTTTTAAACCTTTATTTTAACAGGTTGATAATAACCATTGAGATAATCGATCTCTTTTTCAAGAGAGACCTGTCCAACATGGCAGCAAGTAGGTTACAACATGAACACAAAAGGACATCGTATTTACAGGGCTACATTTACACACCTATAGACATTGACAAGTACCAACAGTATATTTATATCTCGCCCTGTCAATAAGCCTCACCTTCTTGGCAAAAAACTGATTGTTTTTGAAGTGGTGGAGAGGACAATGCACAGTTTTGACCCACTGCTGTCACCCATGGCCAAAGCATATCTCTCCGTCCCACTGATCGGTGGCGTCTTTAGACTTTTTCGGTTGTCCGTCATTTTGACAGACAGGATCGTAAATTGTCCGTCATAATCCCTTATTATTACCCGTCGGGTCTGAACAGTTCACAAGAGGCACGCTCGTGAACTGTCAACGGTGGGGGGGGGGGGGGGGGGGGGGGCGGGTGTTATGCCGGTGTGTGCATGCACCTCGCGGGAGCGCACACAGCGTAAAGCAAAACCTCCCAGACATGTGTTGATCTGTACGGCAAAGTACGGTTTGGAAACTATATCATTTCTGCTTTCAGATTTTTTCCGTCATTGATAAATAAAATATTCGGTTAACGCAACCACTGCTGTCCCAGCAACATCAGTACCAAGCGAGAGAGTTTTTTCCAGAGCAGGGGATATTGTAAATGCCCAAACATTTCCAGCTTACCTGGAAATGTGGACATTCTCATATTCCTAAAAACCTGTCTGAGTGAGTGACTAGTGAGTTTGAGTCGAGTTACTTGAAAAACTAAAGTGAAACTTGATTTATTTTATTGCAGGGTCTGATTATTAAATGTCCTTGTTTATTTGTGAGATGCAGTGGCACAAAGAAAATGCCTACTTTGTTTGGTAGTAGGCCTACTGTAGGTACAAAAACACTGGTTTTCTTGTTCCAGTCTGTTACTGTCACTTTGTTTTTGACACTTTAAAATACTGCTATCCTACTAAAATGCTGTACAAATCAGATTTATTATGTAATAAAGAAACATTTACCGAGTAAAAAAAATGTGTATTGAAAAAAAGAAATATATTATTATTAAGATATTAAGATATTATTCAATATCGCGATAAATACCGTACCGTGGACTTGTTATCGCGATATTATCGTACCGTTACATCCCTACACACTACAGCTGAAGTAGAGCCAACACCAATGCTAACATGTGTTTGTTTGCAGCGGCGCTCCTGTTGGGACATGCTGGGATTAAAAGGTTACCAAGCGTTGCAGTAGATCTTACCGGTGTGCAGTGAGAGCGGTGAGAGCGGCCGGGACAGCGTGGGCGATAGCGTCCCGACACCGAGGTTCTTCCTGTTGCTGTTGCGACAGCTGGAGCACAAACAGAAGAAAAAAAAGGTGTCAACACAAACTACCAGCCTGATCACACATCACTCATCTCCCATCACTTTGAACATCTCTTTATTACCTGTTGTAACAACACAGTGGAATTTCAGCCATTAAAAAAGCACCAATTACAAAATTGTCCCCCAGGTTATCTTAAAAGAAAGCTTTCTCACTAGAAATCAATGCAGGTGTGGTTTATTATGCTATATGGGTTGAAGTGTTTGTGTAACATTCATTATCACTGCTCGAACAATCTAGAAAATACCCTGGCGTGTCCCTTTAATGAGTGGAATCATTTTGGCGTATCCACCTATAATTACAAGTTTGACTCATGCAATGCTTCAACTTGTGTTACCATCAATATGTGTTTTGAGCAGCAGCTTGAAAACACAAAAAACCTTTTCTGTCAGCGCAACACTTGGCAGATTAAGAAGACACTCGACCTCTTAAATCCACAACTGTGATCCACTGAGCTCGAACTGTTGTACTACATTGAGTACGCTGGAACAACAACGAAACACATCCTTGTTTGTGTGCCAACCGGAAGTACGCAGATATTTAACTGGGAGTTATGGAAATAAGCAGGCGTTTTATTGTACTTTTTAGTTTAGTTGGAATTTATTTAATTGTATACTCTTTAATTAGTCAAATCGTTTCTTGTATTTTGCACATTTTGTATCACATAATATAATATAATATACATCCAAGATTTGACCAAAGGAGAATGAACAAAAGCTTCTAAACCTTACACAGAAGGAAGATGCCGTTGTTTTTGTTTAAATGTTGTTAAACTGAGAATGTTAAGCATATTTGCTTGGAACAGGATTGAAATGGTGAATTGCTTATCTGAATAGTTGCAGATAATTGTTCAGCTCCATTCAATTAAAGATATTGAATATATATTAATAACTGTATATTCAGGAGCTGTGTACTATGGCTTCTACTCTTTTTTAGTTGTTATCAGAATCTGTTTCAGTAACTATACTCCAACACTCAGTGATGTAAATTGCTACACAAGTTTTTCATATGGGAAAATGTGCAAACTGAGTACATTGAGCCAACATCATAGCCACCATAACTGCTCTTGATTGGTATTCAAATGAGTCCCATGAATCCTCAAATGTAAGTACACACCATGGTCAAGAATATCAGTGATCAACCGCAAGCAGACCGAAAGTCTTTGAACATATTTTGAATACTTTACCAAAGATACACACTTTCTGGTCTAGTACACATGGGGCTTATGATACTTTGTCTCTGCCCACTGAGATTTCACTCCACGATGAGGTTAGTTCCGCCTTCAGAGCAGCTCTTCCTTGGTAGGTGTTTATGTAACTACTACTCTAATCTGGGGCAAATGCTCGACACACCAGCATGGCTGTGTCAGCTGAAGAGGGGAAACTGGTTAGGGCCAAAACACAAAGAGGAAACCTGCTGTCAACAGACTCAAGGCTGAAGGGAGGGAGTGTGTGCCCAACAGCAACAGCCAGCCAAGCTCGCTACAGATGTCCAACTCTGTGTCTGTGTGTGTGTGTCTAAAAGGCGGGAGGGAGTATCAAAATCCTCTGGTCCTGAAGTGAAGGGGCACACTATGACCAATACCATTAATCTGAGTAAATGTAACTGCAATACGAGGGTGAACAGTAATTAATACTAGTTCTGATTATTCAATCATTAGACAGACAGAAAATGAACCAACTTAGTATAGACTTAAATATTTAGTATTAAAATGTTTGCCATTTTATATACAAAACCTTCCCTCTTCTCACATATTAGCTCTTTGTGTCTGCTTTACAGCCATTCAATTAAACAATTGAGATGTGCACTGTTTTCATTGAAGTCTTCTGAAAACCTCAGGGAATCTAGAAAATGATCTGCAGATTTATCTTCAAAGTGACCGGTTGCAGCCCTAAAATGTTACAATATTAGCAGTTTATAGCATTTTTAATGACAGAATGTGCTGCTTTTCCCATTTTAATATAAAATATTTTGGATTGCTTGTAGAACAAAACATGCCATCTGAACACATTGGACTCTGTGAAATTTGCAGTTTCTTGCAAATTTCAGCCATTTTTCAGACTATTAACCCAAAAAAAAGGACAAATAATTCGTGGATCACACGAATCATATGTTGCAGCATAAATCCACAAAATGCAGGCTGAAAGTTGCCTCATTCATCCCGTGTCATGGCCTCTATCAGACAGCTGCAGGGGTTATCTCCAGTCATCTAACAGTAAACAATGAACTATGCCCTTCAGTCAGTAACTATCATCACACCAATAGACACCAATACAAACAGAGAAGGGCAAATAGAGGCTTTTTCCTTAATATAACACACCTTCTTGTCCCTTTATTTAACAACTGCACCTACAGTTAGGATATGCAAATGCAACATCATAGACCTGCTGCAATGGTCCAATTTCAACAAAGAAGACTGCATATCTGATATTAGACAAACATACTTTTGTTTTAGAGCAAATATTGAAGGAAATGTGCATGAGCTATATACAGATTTCTGGACGAAACCTGATATACACAGACACGGGATTAACGTTCACTAAAGCACCAGGCTGTTTGCGCGCATGGAGCTCGTGTTGGGAATGTTTTAATATAGCGTCCCTTAAGAAATCATTAAGAGTAAATAAGACCACCTGCCACTGATACAAGGCCGGCATTTTAACATAACAAACAAAAGCCAAAATGTACCTGCATTTAACCTGCAAATCCCCAACTCTTGATAAGTACCTTTTTGAGCGCTTCAGCAAGGCTCCCGGAACAAAATGAGACTTGGTGTGGCTTGGAGCCGCAGACCAGTGACTTGGATCCGACATGCTGGAGGATATTTTCGCCTTGATATCCCAGTTTAAAAGTGAATGGTTATGTTAGAGAACTGAAGCTGGGGTATGTGTGAAACCCCCCGATGCTGCTGCTCCTCTCCCCCACCATCGCCTCCTCTCCTCGGCGCTTTCTTTTGTATTGTGTCTGCCGCCTCGTGTAGTCCCTACATCCTCCGGTCGGCCCTCTCACCGCGGTCCTGTCCCCGAAAATAACACCTCCATGTTGGTGTTTCTGTTGTGTGTAAAACCGTGCACACAGCAGCAGCCAGCGACTCACTTTAGTTTGGTCAAACACATACTGCTGTTTCAGTGTGTGTCCGAGTGAGCGGGCTGGAGCCAGATGCAGCGTTCAGGTGCTGCTCGTTCACGACGGTGTCTCACTCCTGGAAAGTCTGCCAAGTAGGCCTATCTAAATTGCCATTCAAATGTTACCAGTCCAACCAGTTCCAAAGCTGTAGCAATATATCTGTATGAACATTAATCTTATCAGTTTGACTCAAATTGTTACTTCTATTTATACTTTTAGTAAATGTTTATTCTTATTTATTTTATTCTTAATATCCCTGTGTATATTCTCATGTGTACTACCTGTGTTTCTCTCTTATTCTTCTGCTGCTATAACACCGGAATTACCCTACAGGGATCAATAAAGGTCCATCTTATCTTACTATCTTCCTACTCCAAAAAATACTTAGACAGAAATACTTTAAATTGCCTTATCGAGCAATCTTTGTGAAAGTAAAGAAAAGTGATTATATATCTGCTCTGTGATTTGGATCCGCTCCTTAGTTGGGTTCTTCCTTGGCCCATGCTACACCATTTCACCAAGCTTCCTCTGCAAAGGTAAAATGTGATATAATAAAAGCGCTATCGGCAAAATTAAGATAGGATGTGTTTGTATTATTTGGTTTGTATTACGATAATCCTTCACTGTTACAAAGAACATAAGAGTCATTTTTTCGTTTCCTTTAACAGCAGCTTGAGAAGATAACATACTATGTTACACAACAAAAAGAGCAGACCAAAGAACTGCAGGCTTGTAAGGACAGTAGGAGTGAAATTAGGCTCCACACCACAGTGACTCCTACGTTTCTCTAGTCTAGTGCTACAAAACTACTATAATGTGAACATTGCAGGCCTTTAAAAAACGTTTTATCTATAATAAATGGATTTGTTAGGCTGCATTAGTTGAGTGTGTGTGGTGGAGATGGTTACATTTCTTCTTTGTAGGCCTACTGTTAAAGAGTGGATTTTTACCTTATTTTGTTTGTTGAGTTAGGCCTAATAATAGTCAGACCAAAACACTCCCTTCACGTGTACTATTGAGCGAATTTCCTACAAAACTTGAACGCATCATAAAATGTAGTTGGGTTATACCATAAGCAATCTGGCAGAGGGAGGATTCCAGACAAACTTCTAAACAATGGTACATGCCACTGCATATACTACCTCTAGTGGTCATTGCATATAGCTCAGTTATACCCTTTATATATACAGTCTATGGTTATACCCAGTACTTTTTTCATTTTTTTCCCAATCATATCAGATCACAACATCACGTATTGATATACTGTAGCTGGAATGCTGTGTGTAGTAGCAAACACAACTAAAACATATTTTATTTATTTGTATTTGTTTTGAATTTGGACTCAAACTATCTTTATGTGATGTACTGCAGACGATTGGTTGAAAATATAGGATAGATGTCAAGACCTATATTTAGTTTGCAAGGGACCGATTTTCTTTATTATATATAATTTTGTAATTGACATAGACACATTAGGAATTTAAGGAATACCTAAAACAGATATATTATATAATATAAATGTTGTTTTTGCAGTATGCCACTGCCACCACTAATCAGGCTTATTGGTTACATCTTACACAGATAAAGGATAAAGGTGATTGTGGCGTTATTGTTGCGGCTGCCAAACTTTGGAAATGTTTTTAAAGTATTTGTACAGTTTTAATACTATCATGTTGCTTTTCATTGTATGAGTCTTCCACATAAAGATGCCATAATAATAAAATGCCAACATATCCGTTTTTAAGCGTGCGCTTAAGACCTTCCTTTTTGATAAAGCTTATAGTTAGGGCTGATTAGATTCAGCCCCTAGTTTTGCTGCTATAGGCTTAGACTGTCGGGGGACACCTTACTTCTTCCTTCTGTCTGTCTGTACCTGTGTACTCTCATGTTCCGAATAACCCAGCTTCCCCCAAATGTCATTTTGGTGTCTATCTACACCGGGATCCTGAGTCGAGGCTGATCCTGTTGCTGCGGTCCTGTGTCCTGGATCCTGAGCACTGGATCCTGCATCTTGAGTCCTGGATCCTGAGTCCTGGATCCTGAGTCCTGAGTCCTAGATTTGAGTCCTGGATTTCGAGTCGTGGCTGAACCGGTCTCTGCGGTCCTGCCTGACTTTCATCATACTCCCCTGATGGCTCCCACAGGATTGTTGACATCCTTGTGGATTCATCTTCTTATTATAGACACATGCATTTCCAAACATTTGGTCTACCTCTTTCGTAAATGTATTATCTTTTCAATTTACACACGGCATCTATTGCACGTCTGTCCGTCCTGGGAGAGGGATCCCTCCTCTGTTGCTCTCCCTGAGGTTTCTCCCATTTTCCCTTTAAACTGTGGGTTTTCTCTGGAAGTTTTTCCTTGTACGATGTGAGGGTCTAAGGACAGAGGGTCTAAGGACAGAGGGTGTCGTATTGTCCTACTGATATTCTGTACAAACTGTGAAGTCCACTGAGACAAATGTAACATTTGTGATATTGGGCTATATAAATATAATAAACATTGATTGATTGATTGATTGATTGATATCAGATTCCAGGGTTGATGCCAGGAAGCAATTTACTTGTATACAAATAAAAAATCTGATGCAAGAGAATGAACATGTTTCTGGAAGGTGAAACAACACGGGGGTTCTCCAATGCAAAATGCTGTGAAGAATGTTGCCAACAAATGTGCGAACTGCCATAAGGTACATTGCTTTAGTCTGAAAAGAGCATTGTGTTAGGGAACTCATGATTATCATGTTCGATTTTAGCATTCCCACACAAAATGTGTTCATTTTTCAACAGAGCAAATGGGATTAATTACGGTATGGTGTATGGTGTGACAGCAGCACTGCTCACAGAGACATGCAGGATGCAGCCGCCTCTGTTTGCAGTGTTGCCTTCCTCCACAGCACCCAGAACCGTTGCCAAGCAACCCACATAGACTTACAGACAACTAATACTTGATGAGTGAATTCACTGCTGAAACTAAACCACCTTCATATATAAAAAAACAATAGAGACTTATATTAATTTTTCCAAGAGTTGTACATTTTTAGGAATTTACACTTTGTTATATGTTATTACAATTAAAATGTAGCAGAAGGCTAGCTTTTTATTATTATTTAAACAAATAGCAAGCACAAATAGCAAGATAAAATGTAAAGCGATTGGTATGTTGTTTTTAGTAAACTTAACTCAAACAGGAGTAAGTGGTTTATTTATTGTGAACTATTTTCAGCAGTGGACAATACACATTTGGTACTCTAGTCTAAATGTATGTGGGATTGAATACACGGTAATGAAGGGATAACCAGTAACCACCAGATTTGTAGCTTTATCAGGATGTAGCTATATAGATAATAATGTTCTGCTGTATGATCATTTATGGTTACGGAGATACGGGTAGTGTTTCAAAAAATTCCAATCCAAATGTTTTAAAAGGATTTGTTGGTTTTGTGGTGAACTGACTTGTTGATGATATACTTTTTTTTAAAGGCATTTAACTCTAAATGATCAGTTTGTGTGTGACCTGAGTGTCTTACCTCCAGGGATGAAGGGTTTGCAAGGGGCTGCAGGGACTGCAGGGGCTGCATGGACTCAGAAGAGTGGGGCTCTGGCATGTAGGCGACAAACTGTAAAAAAAACATGGATTAGTGCGCTGACGCAGCACAGGAGGAGCAGGCTGGCGTCTGTCATCAGTCAGCAGCAGAGCTTTGGTTGAGGGTTAGAGGTGGATTTTTGCTCTAGTTGGCTGTCATAAACAGCAGAGGGTGACAGACACCTGCAATATTTGTTGCAAGGTGGCAGGATGCAACACTGCATCTGATTGGTCAGATTCTAACCTCTCAGGAACTCTTCCACCATGGGAAGTGGGCAGCTGGGTGACAACACACCAGAACGGAAGTATCATCGTCCAACATGTGTTTACTTAACATCTAATGCATCCTTTAACAGTGTTAGGGAGTGTCTGCTATATGGCAACACACACATGTTATGAAGTATAGGCTTGATTTCCAAAGAAGATTAAACCTTAAAGAAAATCCTCAAACTGTATTTTCTAAGATAAATACTTTATACCATTTAACATCTTAGTGCTCTATCTTTGCATCAAAATATGCACGCTCAGCCATCCTAAGGTCTGCATCTTCCTTGTGCTGACCAAGCGCAGAAGCTGCTTTCTATTGATTTCACTGCTCATAAGCTCTGCCTTGTGGGCTCCACAGTGCTGCGATTGTACCAGTGCTAAACACAGCACTGGCTACCAAAGCACTAATGAACGTGTTGTCATAGTAATGCAGTGAGAATGGTAAAAACAACTCCTTGCACGAAGACTCCTAATACTGTAGTGTCGGCTCATAACTACAAAACACATGCAACTCATTACGTCGTATTTCATCTTAACACATTGTCTCTTTCAGACCCTTAAACCAAAGCTCTCGGTGGTGCTTGAGTGAGTAATGGCCCCTCATTTCCATTTGGTCTGCGCTTCATCGACACTCCTGCCCAGAGTGTAAACTGAGAAAAGAACATCTCAAATTGACTAATTGGTGACATTTACACTGAATTTCTGATCTGCACAGATGTTTAGGCATCCTCTGAAATTAAGAAGCAACAATGAAAGGATTTCCTTTAATGCCAAAATAAAAATCATAACAAGCAATTGCAGGAATGCATTCAGAAGTATCTGCACCTTCTAAAAGGTATCGTGGCATCTCAGTTATAGAGTAAAATATTTTGCAGGAAAGTTAATGTAAATAGGCCCACTTGCAATGCACACGTTTTTGTATAAGTAAGTCTGAATACAAACAGCAATGTGATGCCATGGTAGCAAGCCGCTGTGTGTATGGACTGATGCCCCCATCAACAGCAACCAGTAAAACCCTGAGCCCCTCCCTGCGTGCAGAGCGTGAAACCTCCTCTGTATCTCTGCGCGGGAGCAGCTAAGTGCCTAAAAATGAAAATACATGTAAAAAACAGGCAGTGCATGCTCTGCTGAGATAATCCACTGAGGAGGCTGATGGATGGATCAGAGAATGGGGATGTAAGCAGGGAGCTCCTACGCCTTATGGATCACCATCTAGTGGGCAGCAGGTAC